AGAGTGCAAAGATCTCAGGCTTAGCTGCAGGACCTGGAAGTTCGGGATTCGGTGTGCAAACTCTCCGAGTAGGATCGGGCTCTGGTTTACGGTACCTAATCATGCGGGCCTGAGCAAGAAGTGTCAGTATGTACTAGCGTTCCTGCACATGCAAGAACCTGGTCTACTTAGAAAAGCTGCGCGATTGGGGAGTTGTAGAAACACACTCTACGAGTATATTGAGATAGTGATCTTACTGGAGCCTGACAGAGTCGTTTCAGTGCTTCTAAAGTCCAAAACTGTGAAACTTTGCTTCGGCCAGAAGCTAGCAGACAATGAGAGTGGGGGGTCAACGAGCGCGTTTCCTCAAGGTATCAGCATAATTCCTTTCGCAGTATAACTCACGCAGCATGTCTGCGCAGTTCTTAAAGGTAGTCAGGTCGTGATTACTACAACCTTCTTAAAGATAGCCATTACAGTGAAGCACTGGTTCTGGTTTGCCTGTGACTACTATTGTTTTTGTTGTGATTGCTAATGTTCCTATTATTACTTAGAATTACTATCTGCCAGTATCGTCAATTCACCAACGCATCAGCGTCGTCCAGGCAGAGCGCAGCGTCCGGCACGTGGAGGCTATTGGCACACCTCCAAACCCTCAATACTGTATGCCCTGTACTGGGGGTTCTACAAAACCTGCATAATTCCATGACACTAATAACTTAACCCCTGTAGGCTCGATAGGCCTTATAATTTATAATCCATATAAGCCATAAGCCTGCAGCCGCATGCACGGTTGGGATTGAGGATGCAGGGTTCAGAACGGCGAGACTTTCTGTAACCTCAGGGCCCTTACCAAACAGTCTCTTCTGTGCACAGGCAGATGTCACCTCGCCAAAGAGGGCCAGGTTCGGACAGGGTCTATCCCGATGCCTGGGCCAACTTTCCGATCTCCTGGGCAAGCGACGCTTCGGATTTCGGATTTCGGGCCCCCCTGCGTGGTCTGGTGCAGCCCATCCAGTCCCTCACAATCGGAACATCATAAGAACCAGGTGTCGAGAGAGAGGCACCTGACAAGGCTTTTGGGTCCTTAGGTTTCGTGTACCGGCTCGAAGGGCAGAGGGAGCGTTGTGGTGTTTCCCTAAACCCTAAACCCTAAACCCTAAACCGTGAGCGGCTGCAGGGCTGACATTGGGACTACCGCCGTTAATGCAGGTAGCAGAGGACTTGCTGCGTTTCTTCCTTGTCGCAACCCCTGGAAACAGAACAGCTGTTGCCCCCTTGCAGTCCCAATAAATGTAGACCGTAATCTACCCCGGCAAAACCTTAATTATTCTGATTGTTGAAGTCCCTTTATTGCTTTTTTTGTTCGACCTCTGTCTGGTACTGTCCTCCTTCCCGCAGCAGGTGGGATGACTCCTGGCAGATGTCTTGGTCGAAGGCGCCGTCGGCAGAAGGGATATGAGCACCGAAGCTGTTGATGCTGTGTCCTACATGAGTGCGGAGGGAATACTGGGAATACCTTATCGTTTGGACTCGTAAGGGGGCCACAGTCCAGTCTAGAGCGTCGTTGCTGTCCATGGCAAGCCTCGAGATTCAAAGTGCAATGTTGATTTATGTTGCAGGGTTTAGGTTTTAGGGTTATTGACTGCAGCAGTCATGGCAAAACGGCTGCTTGCAGTGACCTGGCCAGCTTTCCAAACGAACGTGCTTCTCCGACGGTGACAGGCGGCCAAGCACACTTACAGGGGGGTCTCCAGCTTTGGCGCTAGAGCGAATTCGCCTGCCTTAGTTGGCCGCATTGGAGGATCTGCGGTGCCGTCTTTTGACGGTTCATGCACGCACAACGAACCCGCAGCCCGTGCAAGACTGTAGCAGTGGGAACAAAGTTCCGCATCAGCGGAAGTGCACCTCACTAGTAGTAGTAGTAGTAGTAGTAGTAGTAGTCGTCGTCGTCGTCGTCGTCGTAGTAGTAGTAGTAGTAGTAGAGTAGTAGTAGTCGTCGTCGTCGTCGTCGTAGTAGTAGTAGTAGTAGTCGTGGTAGTGGTGGTTGTAGTAGTAGTGGTGGTGGTGACAGGAAGGATAATTAGCCGAAGTGGCGGAGTTAGTCGTTTTCGCGGTCGCGGTCGTGATCGTGGTGGTAGTGGTCGTCATAGTGGAAATGGAGGTAGTATTCGTATCAAGTCTTGGTGGTATTAGTCGTCGTTATCGTGGTCATCGTAGCAGTGATAGTCGTGGTCGTGGTGGTTCCAGTGCTTCGGCTTCCCGACCTTGCTTTGTTCGCTTAGACCCTCTCCGACCAAGACTCATGCAGACATATAGTAAGACTTAATAAGAATGATAGCTACGGCATGTCGCTCCAGTGTTGGCTTGTCTTGCCTCTGGCAGGGCAACGACGAGATGAACTGGTGCCGCCTGCGAGCTTAAGCGGTCAAGGTTCAGAGATACGGGCCTGAACAACTAGAATGGGTTTTGGGGTACACTACAGTATTCCTGTCGACAGTACAGTATTGGGCCTATAAGGGGTCTATGATCATAGCGCTTCTTTCAATGGACTGTCCGTCTCAATTTTGTAATTTACTGCACCCTAAGGTACACTACCGTATTCGTGTCGACAGTATTGTGATTATAAGGGGTCTATGATCATAGCGCTTCTTTCAATGGACTGTCCGTCTCATTTTTGTAATTTGCTGCACCCTAAGCCCAAACCCTGGTTCACGACGACTGTTCGCAGCTTTGCCTCCACCAAGTTGTTCGCATGACTTCCGTCGTTGTTGCTGCTGTTCCTCTGGGCAGTCCCGGCCAATTGGGGGTTCGGGTCACAGGGATGAGGGTAGTTTTCTAAATTAGGGACCCTTTTGGTGTCCTTTTTATAAGGGTGCCGTAGTATATTGGGGGTCCAAAAAGGGACCCTAATTTAGAGAACTACCCATGAGGGATTTTGGAGCCATGTGGAATCGTACTATTGTCCCTTATACGTGTGAATTTGAAGTCAAGAAGTGCTTCACGAGCCAGGCGATGCCGTGAGTACTTCTCCGTGCCTGATGGAGGTGGGATAGCTGGTTTGCAAGCTGTTCAAAGAGATATGTTCACTGTATGACTATAAGTTAGCGTTTTTATCAATTTCCTCAAACATGTTTGCAGCCGGCCTCACCCGATGCTCGACGAAGTGGACGGAAGAAGCAGTACATCCCAAAGTATCGGACCCTGGAGACTTGATCTACCTTGAGACAAGAATCTCCCGTAGCAGCAGCTTAGGGTCAGTAGTAGGGTCTTAGGGTTTAGACCTTGAGCCCTCAACTTCTTTGTGAGAGGCACGGGTCGCTCGATGCCAAGCCCAACCAGCCCGGGCACGCTAAAGCATCCCTTTGCGGGGAGCCCTGGTTCCGCAACACATATGGGGGGTTTCCGAAAATAGGGGACCCTAAGAAAAGTACCCTAAATAGTAGGGTCCTTATTATAAGGATCCCAAACAAGGTACCCTAATTTCGGAAGTTCCAATATGAAGAAATGATGGATTCGTAGATAAATCGCAGATAAAGAAATGAACAACATATATGTATAATCAATGTTGTCATAGCACCTGTTGAAGGAGCAGATGAGTGCCTGTGTCATGGCATGGCAGAGCAGAGTTTTCAGCGTAATTTACTGCAACTCAAGATTTTGCACAGTATCTCTCTATCTATCCGTTTATCCGTTTATCCATCCGCCTGTCCGTCCTTCCATCCATCTATCTATGTATCATTACTTACCTGTCTATGTATCTAGGAATAGCCTAATTGTCTTCAGTCCCCATGTCTGTTGTATAATCACACCAGTATAATCAAAAGGCCTATTCAAAGGCCCGTCTATTTTGCCAAGAGTTCAGCCGTGCCCTCTCAGGCGGCTACTCTTCAGGAGAACTTGGCAGCAATGAACCTCTCAGACGAGAGCACGCCGTAGACTGCATGAAGTCGAGTCGCAAGATGAAAGATTGAGAGCGATGGTGTCTTGCTTCAAACTGGTGGTTTCACAGCTCGCATCGAAATCGCACAAGCTAGGATTCCTCAGGAGTGCCAGTTCACTGGGCTGACTGGGCTAAAGCTTTCTCGGGAACACCATTGAACCCTAATCAAACCCGAAGCACGCAGTTCCTCATGGCGCTTCATGACTGAAGGTGGAAGGGGCCCAAAGCCTAAACCCTAAACCCTGTAAACCCCAAACCAACCCAAAACCCCAAACCCTAAACCCTGTAAACCCCAAACCAACCCTAAACCCTAAACCCCGAACCCTATAAACCCCAAATCGTGTTGTCCGAAGCATCCCGGCTTGAGGACGGTCGTTAGAGGCGCCGTGCGCCATTCCCGACAGCAACAGGTTGCCGGTTTAGGGTTTAGGGTTTAGGGTTTAGGGGTTTAGGGGTTGAGGGGTTAGGGTTTAGGGGTTAGGGTTAAGGGGTTAGTACCGGTTTAGGGTTTAGGGTTTAGGGGTTTAGGGGTTTAGGGTTTTAGGGGTTTAGGGGTTTAGGGGTTATTTAGGGTTTAGGGTATCGTGCCAATCCCTTCGCGCCTCATTGCGTTGCTCAAGAGATCTCCAGGATCGAGTTCAGCTACTAGCTCACGTTAAGTCTCGGCAAAAAAGCCGAGGAATCAGTGTAGAGCTGGTAAGGAAGCAGTTGTCATTGACATCCGTGAAGCTGGTGAGTGTAAGTAAATTATGTCGGGGCCCTCTTGGCAGAAAAAAGGGCTTGAGGTGGAAGAACATGCAGAGATTCAGCCAGCGCTGCTTATAGGCTCGGCCAAGTTTCCAGCTCAGTGAATAATAGTCATAATGAGTTATAATCTTGGTGTAATGGTAGTCGTAGTCATCATAAGAACACAGTTATACTGTTATACTGCTTGTGCTTGGTGCCATGGCGTTGGAGGACTTGGCTCAAGTCAGTTTCGTGACCCATGGCTTGGTCTTCTTTTTTCTCTCAGAGAATGATTAGGGCTCACCTACGTGTGGATTTTCGTAGACCCCTTGACGGCAATTCGTGGGCCCTGATGTGCCGTCTGAGGAACGAGGACTTCCTGCGGAAGCATGGCTTGAGCACCTCGAACGTGTGGCTTGGCTATCTTGGGATGGAATGCCATTGCGGACCCTGGCAGATTTGTTGCAACCGGCAAGGGGCCAGGATAACATGCGGAACATGCCAGAAGACGCTGGATTCCTCTGTTCTTGCACGATGATAGCAGATAGCAACGAGAGCAGCAATGCTTGCAGCTAGCAGTATGATAAGCTGCAGAGCCCAAGAAGCGGCAAGAACGCGAAGAAAGAAGATAAATTGGATCAATTGGATCGCTCCTAGACCCTGCGACAGAAAGAGTGCCCATGAACCTAAACCCCTAAACCCTAAACCCTAAACCCTAAACCCTAAACCCCTAAGCCTAGGTTGGACTACTTCTACACCTCGCCTTTCTACCTCCGCTGTGGCGGCCCTGAGTCTATAAATGAGCGGCGGCGACGCGGTCAGCGGGAGGCGCCCCGGAGTTTTGGGATATTCGGGGTTTCGGCTTCAGGTTTGTGGGCGAAGAAGATCAAGAGCTGTGGGATTTAGAAGGCTTTTGAGATGCAGGGATATGCAAGCCGTAAGAGTTGAATGCTGGCAGGGGAGCCTGCCAGGCTCTGCCAGCTACTTGAGCCTTCTATCCCGAACATGTGCCCGACACCCTAGACGGTCCTCAACCCTAAGTAGCACCTTGCAAACCGCAAGAACACAGGACATAGAGTTTTTCCGGCTCTTTCGATAACATGTGCAGCAGTTAGCCACATATCTAGAGGTCCATGAATGAAGGTAGTGTTTTCGGATTCCGGCATTCGGTATGTATTCTACCAGGTACGGCTACGAAAGGCGTGGTATGTGATTTTTCGCTTTAGCATGTGCCGGCAGAGCAGTTTCGGCACAGTAAGGATGTTTGTCTGCGTGGACGCATGGATGATGGGTCATGTACGGAATGGAGGTTGTATGTATATATGGATGGGTGGATGGATGTATGTATGTGCTACAAGTATGGAGATTGTTGATACAGCGGATAGGCTGCCACGACCGGGATCGAGTTCGTCGTGGCTGGCGCCAACGCAGATGCCAGGGAAGGCTGGGTGCGGATGAACCCCCGAAGGCAGCCTTCATGTTGAGCCTGTTATGAGCGTTGTAAGAGTGTGTATGCATCTGGTTTTTGTGTTGTCATAAGAACCGCAGCAGTAGTTCGTAGTAGGAGGAGCAGAGAAGGTGGAGTAGGAGTGGTAGGGTAGGAGTAGGAGTAGGAGCACTCCTCACTACTCAACGCTTGTAGAAACGACGCTCAGAAGACCACATGCTCGCAGCAAGCCAGTCTCGAGCTTCAATAGCGCCATATGACTCATAGATAGTAAAGCGCCTCCAAAGCCTACTCAGTCACATATCACTGTTGGGGGAAGCAAGCTGCCCAAGCCGTCACACCTTCACGAGGTCTCTGTCTTGTGAGTGAAATAGAACTGCGACCAACATGGTCGCATCAATGTCTACGGTCGCAGCGAAAACGTGATGATGAGCAATGAACTAGTGTTGGAGATGCCACCCAAAAAGAGCTTTGCAAGCCCTCCACAGGGAGCATGATGTAGCGTTTTACATGCAGGCTACTTCTGCTTCTGCGATTGCTACCAGGAACGGTAATGATGAGAAGAACAAGACCAATCAAGACCGTGCTTGTCTCTGGTAAGCCCTGCTTTGTTGCAGAAGTTGTCTCATGCTCCTTTTGTGTCTTCATCGTAGTTAGAGGATCACAGGCATCATCAACATCTCCATCCACATGGGCACTCAGCAGCATCAGCCTCATCATCATCGTCATCATCATCGTCATCATCACAACATCAGCCGCCGAGCTCATCATCGCCTGTCAGTATTGGTATCAACAGCAACATCACTCAACATCGTCATATCCCGATGCGAAGGCCTCCTCGCCACCTCGATCTTCGTCTTGCAGCGAGTGCTTCGGCGAGCGGGAGAGTCTGCCACCCCGCAGGAGAAGATGTGATGCTTCAGCCCATTGAGCCATCGCAAGTCCAGATTCGTCAGGAAGCTCGGAGCATGCACAGGGGCATGCATGCGCGTGGACGATGTAGATAACGCAAAAACATGTAATAGTCTCAATATAAAGCTTGAGTGCGATAGGAAGTAAGCGGTCGTTGTGTTTGCAAAGACTCGGCTGACGCAAGGATGCCTTCTATGTTTTGGCAGGCACGGTTGCGCAGCCAAGGGTTGTGGGAGGGGAGACCTGCGGTGCTTGTTTCAAGAGGCGTGTTCGTTATAAAACCTACGCGACATTCACGAAAGATATATATATATATATAGGTGCATATGTGTCAACAATGATCTTTCCACGAAAGCATCACTGTAGACTTCACCATCTTTATCACACCTTCACCAATCTAATCGCTGTCATCGTCATCGTATTCATCCTGGATGCTGTCGCCGTCATCACCCTCATCACCGCCATCATCCTCCACCATCATCATCATCATCATCATCAGCTTCATCTCATCATCATGAGTAGCAACACCTCGCCACCAGCATCAGCAGCAGTAGGCTTAAATTGATTTTTTCTCTTCCTCAGACAGCAGGCGTCATTCTGCCGACTGTTGCGTCGATCGTCGTCACGGCGATCATGATATTGAGAATGCTTGGCTATCATGACAACTTCTAGTTGCTGCTCGTCTAATGCTGCCACCTCCACAGCCGGAAACCAGTGCCGCCACAACACCGTCACTATCGAGCTTGTTTAACTTTGCGCGTATGCGCCCTAATGCAGGGCTCGGGCGGTACATGGTGCTTTGCTCTGTCTCCAACATTTGGGCATCCGCGAGGGGTGCTGAGCACGTACAAACCAATTTCTGTGTGCTGATGAACCAACTCTTCTATAGATCGCCAAAGAAGGATTGCACCCCTGCAAAGTCAAAGCTTCTGCGCAGGCACAGTCTACAAGGCCCCTTCTCTGGTGGACATCTTCGATGGCGCCCTTTGCCAGTCGGCGCGGGCAGCCAGCAGCACCTAGACGGATCCGTGGTTTGACGTTGTGGCATCGTCGCAGATTTCGGAACCTCAAACCTTAAACCCAAAGCTTGTGGAGGCTTTGACCAAATCTTGGAAACATGATATAGCCGACACCCCTTCTGATCAGAGCTTCTTCCCTGCTTGGCCGCAAGAAAGCCTATGCACCCCGACCCAAACCAAGTCTCCTGCTAGGCATTTTGAAGAAGCAGCTGGAAAGCATGCGACAAAGCACGGAGGAGGAGGCGCCTCATGCGCCGGAATCCAGGCTCCGTCGCGGTTGATTGACCGTAGGGGCCTGAATAATTGGGTTTAGGGTTTAGGGTAATTACCCATATTATATTGGTTTGGGGGTTCCTTATTATAGCTATAGTATAGGGGCCTGAATTACCTACCTGTAGTCTCCATTGTAGTTCCTTTTTGGGGACACCTTATACAATTCTTAATATGTAATTGGTTCAACCAAAACAAGGAACTACAATCGAGACTACAGGTATATTGTTTTGGGGGTTCCTTACTATAGCTATAGTAGAATGGCCCCCGAAATTGTAATTATTAGGGCCTCTACGTTAGGGTCTATTTACAGGGTCTACTGTGGGGTTTCGTTTAGGCCTGGGCTTGATATTCGGGTTCATCGCGGTTTGGGTTGTTCTTGCGGCTTGTGGCTTATTTCTAGCGTTGCCAGTCAGTTGTGGCCTAGGCTTCCAAACTCAACAGCCAGAAGATCCATGCTGTGCATCCATTTTCGTTCCATACGGAGTGTTTTTGGGCTGTACTCTATTACATGATCTATATTCTGCTATATTCCACTACTGTCTACTTCATTAAACTGTATGAATCTCACTTTATTGAAATTCTGAAAGCAGGCTGGGCGATGGTTGGCCAGCCTGGCGGCACAGCTGCACTGGAGTTCTGCAAGCTTTCCGGGCCCAAAGCATCAAAGCCCTTAACTCCCTCCTTATAATCCTAATCTAGGGCCTAAATAAATTTTCCAGGCTCCTTAGAATGATTGTAGTATAAGAACAGAATATACCCCATACCGTCCAAGCCCTGCAGCCGCAAGCCTGATCGCGAAGAAGGGGAACAGAGCTCTAGTGCTGTACTAAGAGACTCTGAGAATGCCTTGAATTCAATGCCTCGGCGGTTCTTTCCGTAAATCCGGCGCCGATCGGAGCTCATCACTGCACGGGGCATGGTTCGAAAGTTCGTTCGTTCGAGATAGCCATGTCTAGTCTTGGTCCTCGCAGACACGCGGATGGTCACATGCTGTCGCTGCAGCTTCTGACTGACTGGTGGTTCTGTAGGCGTGAGCGGTTTTCAGTGCACTTTGAAATTTTTCCGAAACCCTAAGCCCTTTTACGACAAGTCCAGCCCATGTCTTACGCAACCGTTCTCGCTCTACAACTCTGCAAGCCAATTCAGGTGTAACTTCGAGCGCCCAGCTGTCCCGGCAGTGTGGCTGCGCGGCGCCTTCGTTGATAGCACGCGCCGTGTCGGTGTCCCCGGTGGAGAAGCCCGAGAAACAGGGCTTTCACACCCGCCGTAGCCATCCATCCATCTATCTGCTTGTCTGTACATTTATTTGTCCATCCACCAACCTGTCTATTATTGTCTATCTGTCTGTTTATATACACAGAGGGAGGACGCCCGCAGGCGGGAAGCGCAAGTGCCATGTTTAAGAAAGCTTTTGCACATGTACCACACTGGCGCACATTTAGGAAAAACTTTCGATGACCGCACCCACATTGTGCACAGGCAGGCGTTATTATCCTTGCGCTGTACATGTGTATCGGTGCATACGCCACGACATACGCTCCGTACGTAGATAGGCAAACATGCATGCACCTCTGCGTGAGCATATGCAGCTACGCATCTTTCAGTGCATACACACAGAAACATATTCAGGTACGTATATAGATAAATACATAATACACACATACAAACATACATACATCCTCACATACATGCATACATACATACATACATACATACATACATACATACATACATACATACATAAGACATACACACATCGGTACGTACATACATGCATGCATGCATGCGT